TATGATATCTCTTTCATCTATAATATATTAAAGAAGAAATATTATTCTAATTACAGTAAAATATTAAACGCAATTTCGAATAGATTTCAATGTTTATTTTCATTGTATTTCTTTTAACAACCGCACATAATTCTTATTATTAGTGGCGGCCTGTCGTTATTAACCCATTCGAGGGATGGGATCCACCGGTGGACCCCACTATAATGGTGTCCCATAATGCATGGCCAGCTTTTGTACTTATTTATTCTTATCATTAACTACGTTTATTTCAAAAACAAAATATGCCATAAGATGCAGCGTGAAAAGCTTTACAACTTACATAATATCGCTTATTTTATAGTTACACTCTTTGTTTTCAAAATGAGCAAAATTCCATGCGATCACTTTTCACCCTTTTGCGAAAACTTCATTTTTTCTACAGGACCGAGAAATTTCGCTTTTGTTATTTCCTCTTTTTATGACCTAATACGTTTTCTTTAAAAAAACCAAATATACTAGAAGATTCAGCGTGAAAAATTCTACAATCTACAAGGTAATGCCTATTTTAATTGCGCACTTTTTTGTTTTCAAAAACAACAAGTTCCTGTGCGACCAGTTGTCGCAAGGGTGAAAATTGATCATACAGAATTTTGCTCATTTTGAAAACAAAAAGTACAACTATAAAATAAGCAATATTATGTAAATTGTAGAGCTTTTCACGCTGCATCTTATGACATATTTTGTTTTTAAAATAAACACACGTACTAGATGATAAAAATAAATAAATAAATACAAAAGCTGGTCATTCATTAATGGACATCCGTTATAGTAGGGTCCGCCCGTGGACCCTATCGCCTCGAATGGTTTAATTTTTGCGTATATGTTATTTCTATTGAATTTTCAACATTTACTTTATTGATTAAGTATCTTAAAAATTAAAAATTAAGTTTTTTTTAATTATCACTATTTTTAATAGTAATTCATTTGGACCATTAATTCATGTTCTACGACTCATTTGCGATTGATAAAGTTTTTTTTTCGCGTCTTCCTAGTTGCGGACACTTTTTAATAACTAATTAAGAAAAATGTCCGCAATCCGGAACAGGGTGGATGAATGAAAAATGCTTCTAATTGAAAAATGTCCGCAATTTGACGGTAAATAATGCAATTAAAAGACTTTCTTCTATAATTATATCTTTTGATTTCACTTTCCATTATTTTCTTTGATATTGTTCTCTCGATAACGTTACGTATATCTAGTTCTTTCCTTTTCTGTCATATGACATCATTAGAATTTTCCATATGATGTTCTTCTGATCTTTAGTTGTGATTGGGATGTTTCCGATCATCATGTGTAGGAATTTTCACAGATTTAATTTTCCAGTGTCCATCACCCTATATATAGCCTATGCGTGATGATGGTGGGATGAGATACATTTGAATAAAACAATGTCGACAAGTAATAAAAACTTTAGCCGATTGAATACACAATCAGGTGATGAAGGAATTTTGTATGAGAAATATCTATTTAGTCTCAAACGTTCGAACAAAAACGGAACTCAATATTGGATCTGTACACATAAGCAATGCAATGCGTCGCTGACAACTCTTGGCTCTTCGATCGTGAAAAGTTTTGGTATCAAACCCGATGGATCTCATGACGTCGAGCATGCGGCAAAATCTTCCATTGAAGTATACGAATGCATTGCATCGATAAAGGAACGAATCGAGAACGAGCCGACAACACATATCTGTATGGTTACTATACTTTTCTTGTGATTCTAACTAAGGGATATTAATTAAATTTATTTACTTATGAAATACGGACAATTTTCAAATGAGAAACATTTTTTCATTCAATCACTTTATTCCGGAATGCGGACATTTTTAATTGACTAATTAAGAAAAATGTCCGCAATTAGGAATTAGCCTTTTTTTGTCAAAGAATGTTTAATTTTCAAAGAATATCATTTTTTCAACGTTCAATATTCCTTCAAATAAGTGCTCATCGTTTTCGATCTCGTTGTTACCATCAATTGATGATAAACATTATTATTGAAACAAAACCTGTTTCATTAGATAATCTTTCACCTGTCATTCGTCAAATTCTCTTCAAAGATCCATTATGTGCTGTTCGTTTTGATGGACAATTGTCTGAAAATAAAAAATATCTCATTGGACAATATTCAAGAATAACAGACCGAGCTGAACATCACTTTTCACAAATACTAAAGGATGTTATGAGATATTATCAACAAATGGAGATGAAGATGATGTAGCTCATCCATCTATTGTTGCATTTCCATTAGCTGAAAATCAATTTCAGATTGATCTAGGAACAGAAGATAAATCAATGCCAATTCATGAAAGTGCTCGTTATTTTGATTGTGGTGTATCACTTCAATGTGTTGATAGAACTGAACTGTAAGATATTATTATTTTTTTATCAATAGAATTATTTTCTCCAACATTACCTCTTGAAAAGATTTTATACAAGTGGAAATTCCTAAACATCATTGATCACCAAATTTACAAAAACGAACAAGCCAATGTTAATGATGTTTTCTTTTTAAATATATCAATGATATTTCACATTATGAAGTAAATGAACAAGTTTATAAAGATATTCTAACAGAAATCAAACGAAAACGTGCTTTAGTTTTAACTTTTGATCTATTTGATATACCAAATTATGTTAGTCGATCATGGTCACATTTTGTTGATCAAATAACAGATAAGTAACGCTCGTCACTACGACTTGTTTGATCTTCGACTGAAACTAGTCTATCTATCATCTAGAATTTCTTATTGAAATTTATTTTCAGAACTATCATTAATGAACTAACTGCATCGCAAAAAGTTTATCAAATTTTCATATACGAATGTTTTGTAAGAGAACTCCTTTCAATTGTTCTTTGGGAATTAACATATTGAATAATAAGACAGAGCTCAGTGCCGGTGTCCTCGCGGGCCCCCGCTCCAGACTACTCGATTTTATGTATAATGCCTGCACAACTTAATGTAACGCTTCATTCTTGTTTAAAATATCCTTTAGAAGAACAAAAGAAACCTATCAAAAACTCAGTCCATTATCCACATTCTAAATGTCAAATTCTTCCATAGAAAATTAAAAAAAGGAAGATTAATAAACTTTAAAGCATTTGGATCCATAATTTGGATGGCAGAGTCGATCTGAATCCATAAATGTACAATACCAAATTTCCCTGTCTATGGTCCCCAATGATCTGTTTTCTCCGAGTCGGTATGACGTGATTGAGAAAATGGTCGTGTGAGCTCCCTAGATAATATCTAAAACATCGTGAAATTCTTGTTGTTGGAACTATATGACCCAGTAAATGACATACTTTTCTTTGATTGATATAATTATATAAGAAAAAAATTATCGCTCCTCAGATGGATTCAATGATTCTTTTCTCAAAGATAGGAAGATTTCACTATACTTTAAGAAACAAACAGTAGTGTAGAAATTCTTAATTCGTTACAAGTTTTAAACTTTTGAAACTTTATAATTCGAATACTCGAGTTTTAAGCTGTTCAAATTTTAAAAG